TCCCCTTCTCTCTCTCCTCTCCCATGCCTCCTCGCTCCCGCAGTACTCCCACAGTACACGCTGCTGCTGCTCCCCAACCACTATGCTGCAACGTTGCTTGCTCGCCTGGTCGCCGCCTTGTCCCCCCTACATCTCGCCTGGTCGCCGCCTTGTACCCCCCTACATCGATATCGTCTGGAGCGGCGCCGGCACCGCGCCACAGCGTCGTTGCCTCCTCTGCGCCATGAGAGGTGCCACCTCTACCTCCACCCCCACTGGGTATGGAGCTCGGGGTGTTTGGGGCGTTCTTGTCCCTGATGTTCTGCTGTGATTGGTGCAGCCGCTGGAGGGGAAAGAGCAGAGGATCTAGCAAAGCAATCAGGAGCCGGAGAACACGTCCCATGGCTTCTACGAGGACCAGATGCAAGGTATGTCTATCTGTATAGCTTGGATAAGGGTAGGTGATGCAAGGGGTCTTGTCTTAATATCATCTTTGTTGGTTTGGATGATTTTGCAAGTTTCTTTCGGTAGCTTGGTGTTGTTAAGAAGAGGGTCGGGATTGCCTGGAACCGCATTACAAGATATCTCGGCAAATGCTTAAATTCATGGGTGCAAATGCATACTTGTCTCCTACACAGGCTAAAACACTATTGGAGGTGTGTGTGCAGTTCTAATTTCCTAACATCCATTTCTTTTCTTTAACCACTGACTGCATCTGACAAAGGAACTGTGTGGTTGCTTTCAGATAAGGATACTGGTTTTTCATATTTGCATCTCAAAGAAGCTTGCCCGCTATTGTATGTTGACATTTTCTTGTAACTATGTACCAGTGGCTCAAGTCACTGTTGATTAAATGCTCCTGCAGATGTTCCATTTTGAATGGAAACTGGCTTTGCATATTGGAAAAAGCAAGAACCTTATATGATTTCAGTGTGGAATCATCTCTTTGGTTTGATCTGTAATCATGTATTAAAACAAATCATTTGCTCAGGTAAGTTAGTGGTATACTCGTCTTGCATGCAAAGGTGTTTACTTACTTTAAACATATAAAGGATGATAGACTAGGGGCACTTCTCGGGCCATCCACGCGGCCAACACTTCCAACTTGTGTCCGTTTTCACCCAACGCCCTGCCTAGCCTCTGTCGCTGACGGATGGACCCTGTGGTCGTGGCACTACAAGAAATATGTCAACTTGTGACCACCACTATTGGTCACTGAAAGGTCATGGTTTTTCATTTGTGACCTTTTTGTGACCAAAAACAGAAGGTCAAAAGCTGGCGGTCGTAAACTGACTATAACGACCTTTCTTCTGGAATGGCCGTGGACGTTTATGACCAAAATATGTCTATTGTGGTGTTTTGGTCACTAGGAACCTCCCCAGTCCACGTAGGCATCCAGCGTGGCAAGCTGATGTGGCACAAGATTCAGCCCGGCCCAATTCGGTTTTCTACATGGGCCTAGCCCAACAATTCGGCCTTTTTACTGTATATTTTTTTATGAATTTTCGCTAGCTACATGGGCCTGGCCCAACAATTTGGCCTTTTATATTCTAGAATGCAGCCTTTTATAGTCTACTGATTTTCTATTTTCAGCCATTTTATTTTGCAGCGGGTCCCACTTGTCATGCTTAGCTCAAAATTGGTCCCACTCATTAGAAATTTCGAAATTTGTCAAACAACCATTTTATTTTGCAGCGGGACCCAACTTGTCAGGTTTCCATTTCACGGGTATTCAAATCACATACACAATCATTGTTTCGAACAGACGAGAGAGGAAATGAAATTGGTCCAAAACAATACTACATTAATTTATTATAATAGTTACAGAATATTACAACCCAGGTATGCCTACTACTGCCTACAACTACAACACATAATATGCTACTCTTTGCTGATATGCTTCACAACTTCGGACATGGATTCACACTTCTCCTGTGCAAAAAATAAGAATGAACATATAAGAATAAGAATAGGTACAGACATCAAACAGTAGCCAATGAGGGATCCAATCACTTATAATCAAGAATTGCCTGCAAATGTCATGTACATAAATAGTATGACTAACACTAACCACTATGTGTTCATGGAGTGACTAAAATGTTCTCACTAGCTAGGATTTTTTTGGGTATATAATATACTAACATGTGCAACTCTCTAAATTGATCATAGAAATGAAAATTGTAAGAACGAGTTTTAGAATCCAGGCATGTCAAATTTTAAGCACCAGCAGAATAGATCTAACAAACAGTAAAGAGATGGGCATCACCATGACCATAAATAGAAGGGCCAATCATTGAACAAATCTTGGCATATGCATCCCGCCTCTGCGCAAATTCTTTGAATTCCATTTCCTACAACACAACAATAAAGTTAACATCACAAGGAAAAAGTCCAGCTCCCATGATTAATGAAAACAGAAGAAATTAAACTACCT